AAAAAAAAAAAAGGGAAACTAAACATAATAGTCCCTTTCAAATGTAGAAATGTATATGTTTCCATGTCTTAGGAATTTGCCTTACAGATAATCACACATATATACAAACATATCTGTAAATTTGTTCACTCTAGCAGTGTCCATAATTGTAAACAAAACCCAAAAATGGCTAAAATATAGGGGACTGCCTAAATGAGATATGTTCATGCAGTGGAGTACAATGCTGCCATCAAGAGTGGGTAGGATTGAAGTAAAAAATCAAATCATCTAAGTTCAGTCCAGCTCTACCGCTGACTAGCTAGATGACTCTGGGCATGTCCCTAAACCTCTCCACACCTCAGTTTCTTGTCTGTAAAAGGATGATAATTACAGTACTGACCTTATAGGATTGTTGCAAGGAAAACAGTGCCTGGAGCATAGTAGATACTTTATTAGCTATTATAAATAAATAAATTATAAGTAATTTATATAAATTAGCTGTTATAAATAAATGAGGTAGGCCTATTCAGACTGGCATAGAAAGATGGCCAAGATGTATTGCCTAGAAAGTTTCAGGAGAGTTGGGTGGTGCCTGTGGCTCAAAGGAGTAGGGCACCAGCCCCATATACCAGAGGAGGTGGGTTCAAAGGTGGTAGGTTCAAACCCAGCCCCGGCCAAAAACTGCAAAAAAAAAAAAAAAGTTGCAGGAGAATTAGGAATAGGATAATCTCACGTGGTAAAAAATATTTTAAATGAGCTTGCTGCTTATTGTCTTTTTCCACCCACTAGAATATAAGCTCCTCAAGAACAGAACTTTTGTTTATTATTGTATACCCAGTCTCTGTAATAGACATTCAGTAAATATTGGTTGAATGAATGATGATGGGAAATCTCAGTAAAAAGAATGGGAAAATTTATAGAGACAGAAAGAGTCGAGCTCACCAAGTGCTGGGGGAAGGAAGGGTGTTTAATGGGTACAGAGATTCAGAATGGGGTGAAGAAAAGGTTCTGGAGATAGATAGTGGTGAATGTATTTAAATCACTGAACTATACACTTAAAAATAGTTAAAATGGGTAAAGTGGTAAGTGTCAGGTTGTGTATATTTATATCAACTTGTTTCAAAGTGTTAAGGACTGGGAGCAGGGAAGGATGTCTGCCCTATGGAAGAATACTATTTGTCCTGCTAATCAGGAAACTTAAATTCCTGACTTAAGGTATAAGAGAAATACTTTTATTCCCATTACGCAAAAGTACCTGAACAAGGCTTAATCTTTAATCCTCATTAGGCAGCATGTACGTTGTCAGAACACTAGAAGGTCTGTGTTTTTAAAACGCTTTATTTTGTTTTAAAAACTTACCTTTTATAAAAAAAATGTCCTTTATGCCTGTAATCTAGAGTTTCCAAAGAGCTTTCTCAATGATCACCTTAATTTGTCCTCACAACAATCCAGTGATTATGTTAAAGGAATTTTAATTAAGTATCTGAGCTTTCAAGAGAAAAAAATTTCCTAATTTACTCACCCTTTTACCTTGTTCTCCAACTTTGCACACATTTCATCAAAAGGAAGAGATGGAAACTTTTATACTTAAGAATCTGAAACCATGGGTGGTGCCTGTGGCTCAAGGAGTGAGGTGCTGGCCCCATATACCGGAGGTGGCGGGTTCAAACCTGCCCCAACCAAAAACTGCAAAAAAAAAAAAAAGAATCTGAAATCACACAACTTTTCTAAGCAGAATAAATAGCATCATGTTTCTTAGAATCCGAGAATCTCTCTTTCCCCACTGGCAAGACAGCCAATGAATTACAGTTTTAGGTCAACAGATTAACTACCTGTAGCAAGTAATTTTCAAAGATTAAATGAGTCATTAAATGAATCAAAAATGGATAAACGTGTGAGTTCATGTGCAAATTGCATATGCAGTGATAGGACAAGAATGAATAACACATGACCCAGCACCTGTCACATGGTCATCGTCCAAAAAAGGTCAACATCTTTTCTACTCTCTCTCCAGAATCTTCCCAAAGGCTGTAGTACTTTCTTTATTACAACAGAGAAGACCTCTGACTTCTGGGACACGCTCCATCTCTAGCTCTCTGCATCCCAAACCAAACACCTGCCCTCTCCGCTCATCTCTGAGATAATATGCCCCAAGCATATCCTTTCAATATACCACAAAATAGCACAACGCATAGACACTTTAAAAGGATAAGATCAGGCTCGGCGCCTATAGCTCAACCGGCTAAGGCGCCAGCCACGTACTCCTAAGATGGCAGGTTCGAATCCCCAGCCCGGACCTGCCAAACAACAATGATGGCTGCAACCAAAAAATAGCCAGGCGTTGTAGCGGGCGCCTGTGGTCCCAGCTACTTGGGAGGCGGAGGCAGGAGACTCGCTTGAGCCCAGGAGTTGGAGGTTGCTGTGAGCTGTAATGCCACGGCACTCTGCCCAGGGGGACAGCTTCAGGCTCTGTCTCAAAAAAAAAAAGGATAAGATCAATAAGGATAAATAAAAGTTTTAACATTTTCTCCTTGCTCCCCAAAGGATTGCTTTTTACACCCTGCTTACTACAGCAGGTGCCAGAACTACACTCCTGGGCCACCACACCCTCTTCTCTCTAGTGATTGAAACCCACTGGCCTCCCATTCGGACACAGGCCCACCAAATCTTTGAAATCACATATACTCTCCTGGTCTCTAATACCTAAAAAGAAAGCATAGTTTTCTAACGCCTTGTAGTTTCATTTATTATCTGGCACCTTCCTGTGATGTGTTGAGCTGACGTTCACCAAGAGATAGTAACTTAACTCCTTCCCACGCAATTTCCCCATCAATTACTTCCTGTTGGTGGCTTAACCTTTTGTGAAAGAAAGTAGATTTCTTCACATTGGCCAACATCAACGAATGACCCATTGCTGGTGGTGCCTTTCCTATGTGGGATTTTCCATCTTTCATGAAAGGACTTGTAGTGGGATGTTAGTTATTACTCAACAAACTCACGAAAGGAATAAAATGAGAGTTAGAGAGTGCAAGCAGAAAACATCTCTTTAGAAGTTAAGCTTGGATAGGGACCCAAATTTAGGGATAGAAGAGTTTCCTACTCTATTAATAAAATGTCAAGAATTAAAAATAAACTAAAAATAATGTAAATCCACCACTACATTAAAATCAAGCTGGTGTGATTAGAAAAAAAATACCCAAATTCCTAAGTTCTAAAAGTCACCTCTATACCTGCAAAAAAAAAAAAAAAACAAGCTCCTGACAGCAATCAGGATCTTGTCTCAAGGACTCTCCTAAATATCAGGTTCAGTGTAGACACTCAGACACAAGCAGAACAAAAGAACCTACAGGAGTTTGTTGTTGTGCAAGCCCACTCACCCAAACCAGGTGATTTGCATTTAATTTGCCCTTTCAAATGCATCCTGAACCATGTGTTCCAGAACTAGATGACCCAGCTTTAAACCAGACAGCCTAACCCAAAGCCAGACAATTGGCATCCCTCCTTATAAAAGTCATTCTAACAATTCATTTCCAAATGACGAATGCTCCAGAGCCAAAACCAAATCCTGGAATAAGCTGTTAGCGCCAGCAAGAAAAAACACTCCCCAACTAACATATCTCTTGCTATCAGGCAAGAATAGTGTCTTCTTTGCACATAATAAGTGCCCCCCAGAAGAGACTCTGGGCCTCCCCTTTTTTATAGATTGACATCATAAGAAGCCCTTCCAGCAGTAATGGTATTTACCAGAAAGGAGGAATGGAAGAATGGACCTGATCTGGATCAGTCTCGGGCCCCTGGTGCTTCTTGTCAACTCAGAACCTTCAAGATACGGGAGTAACCAGACACTTGAGGACTTTTAACACTCACTCACGCCAGCCCCATTTTCTCCCTAGCAGGCTACTATCCCAGCAAGGCCACATGGCATTAAAGAGGCTCTGTTCTTCATTCTTTACCCTCCTATCCTGTCCTGCAGGTCAATAGGCGAGAAAACTGCCTAGCCCTTAACACTTGGAATTGCAAGGTCCAAGACAAAGTTCAGGCTCCTAATCAGAACACATCTCTGGGACACTTCATACATTCTTTGCCATTCCCAAGCCCCAATTCTGTATCAACCCCTCTACAAGACACTGTGGATCCTGCAGGAACCAAGACCTGCTCTCTGTCTTAG